GTGTGCGTGTTTCTTGTGTAGCAGAAAGACGCTATTGCTCGAAGGTTAAAGGGGATCTCGTAGTCGAGCAGTCTCGACTAGAGCTTTAATTGCTTAATAACTTTTCTTGTAGATAGACTTTTTTATGGACATTAAAAAAATTAAGTCTCTAGCTCTTATATCTTCTTAGATCGACGCATTCATACATACGGACAGACAGACGGACCGGGCTAAATCGATTCAGCTCGTCGCCCTGTTCAACAATAGAGTCTCCAAATTTTAAATATATATTCAGATGATTTTTATACAATTTAGATTTTTGTTATATTTTGGATACCGGCTCCAAATTCAGCAGAATCCAGTAAAGGTCAGATGGCAGTATAGATAATTAACTATTTGGCTTTTTTTAATGTCAAATATTCAATAGAATATATAAATCATATGCTGAAAGTTTCATTCAAATCCGTAAAGTCAATCGACGTTAATAAATTAACAAAATGTTTGGGCAATTAACAAACGCACGTGCAGCATCCAAAACAGCTTTCCTATACGTGTGCACACATACATTAAAGCTTATTCTTATTTAAATTACATTGCGAATGAAGTGAGTTTGGTTTAGATTTGCTAGATGGCGCTGCAGCAGWGAATATATTTCAGTTTTGCCATCGGACCTTCGAAACGGGAAATGGCGCTGCGACTCGCAGCGCGACGCTCGATCGAGAAGTCTCGGGTTCGACTCCAGAGCGCGCAATTTATGTTTATTTTATTAATTTTTTCAACATTATTAATTTTTCCAATTGCAACTAGTGAGAGCGCGTCATGTTATTTATTTTTGTAATACATACATGTACAATGAAGAACAAAAGTATTTTGACAACGCATTGCAAAGCCGCTTATTTCTGCGAGTTGAGAGAGGTAACGGTACCCAATATATTTTTCAGAGAGTGCAAACATAAAAAGCTATAAGTGACCAAAATATTGCAGGGATAACATAACCCATTATTTTTCTATAATTATTTGCATGGCGGATTATCATTATTTGGGTGGACAAAAGTATTTTGATATTAATATTTATTAAATAAAGTGAGACTAAAACTTAACAATGGTACAAGTAACTAAAATATTAATAAGAATTAAACCCT